CATAGCACGAACGGCCAGCCCAATGGTCTAAGTGACAATCGTTTGCTGGTTCTGATTATGAATGGGTTCTATTTTATTTCGTCCCCTTACAAGGGTATGCTCGCTTGCTCCAACCGCCGTGTCACATGGGCGTTGAGGTGTTCGCTCCGCCTGTGATACTCCACCGGAGACACCGATGACATCAAAATCAGTATTCCGAGCCGAAAGTTGCTGACGCTGGACTTTCGCCGTTTGTTACGGCTCGTGCCCGCCAAAATTTGAAACAACTACAGTAGCGACACCGGTATAAGTAATGACTATCTTCATGTAAATAATTAGCGCGCAAAATATATTTGATGCAGCGGGTTCACCAGAAATTTGGCGTCGAAAAGCTTAAGGCAATGGAGATGACGGACATGGTAGTAAGCATCGGCGACAGGCAACTAGCCTATGACCTGGTTAGATTGTCGAATAATTGAACGTCAATATGGCCAGGGAGCTTTCGGTGGCCTAAGCCAATAATTACATAACGGTACGGGGTCATTAAATTAAAAACTGGCGCACTTTTTGAACCATGCGACCGTTTTCGCTCTTCGTTTCAAAGACGATTGTTGGTACTATCGCGTGATCCTGCCTATATATGTAAGGGGATGCTTTAGAGGCGCTTACTTCGCAATAGGATGCAACATTTAGAGGCCGTTATATATACAGCTATAACTGTAACGGGTATATGAGTAGTTCGCATTGGCGATCATTCTAGGCATTGGCTTACCAACTAACGAACGTTGTGCGTAAAATCCCTACAGTCATGTTTAATGTTAATGTGACTTAATTAATGATTTTTTTTGTTTATTAAAAATACGTATGAATATATATATTCCGCTCGTTTCACCCATATTCCATGATGACCATGGTGCGTGTCCACCCATGGTGATTTGCTCTGATCGCATGCTTATGTAGGCTTGCTGACCGTTCCGATGAGATGAACAGTTAGGCGAAAACATAGGCCCAATAACTGTCGCCAATGCTCACCGTTTTAAGTCACCATTCTACTGTGCGATACGTTTCGTCAAAGAAAAGGCGGAGAAAATTGGGGTTCTCAAGGTACATTTCTGGTTCGTTGCGTGTTAGATATGTTGCTTAAATCAACGCAAGTTGAACTTTTCACAAGTTATCACAGTTGGCCGCTACGCACATTTGCCCACCTTGCAAAAACGCCAGACTGAAACAACGTGCTACTTATCTAGCTTTGTGACTCATCCATCATTCTGGTTCGCCTACCTACAGCCAGTGCTTCGAAGTAGTTTAGTGACTGTTAGATCGAGCCATGGGCTGGGATGGAGTGCCCGAAGATCATTTGGCTAGTCTTGCACTCCCTAAGCGGCCGGCCGAGCTAAACAACGAGAACGAAGTGAAACTGAGCTGATGGCCAAGATCAACAACGCATATAGCGGCAGAAAACAGAAGACAACAACAATGATCACCAATGAATACTTAGCAGCAGCAGCAGCAAAAAATAGAAGAAGCATAAAAAAATAGAAGCAAACGTTTGGTGCAGCCGAGCGGAAACGCCAGAGTTATACTGAAACAAAAATACCGTATCAGGACGGTAGCAGACCAGACTAAAAAAAAACGCAACCGAACTCCGAGCTGAACCAACGGAGCTCTGATTGTAGTGCCGATGCAATGCCAGTCATCGCCGTTATGGAACCCTGCTCTCGTAGCAGAAAGACTAGTGGCATTCATTGTAGAGTAGAGTAAATTCTAGTAGCAGAAATTTGCCCTTTATCGCTTGCCGGCCTGGGTTCGTTCATTTGGTCATTCGGAAGGCAGCCGTAGTGAGGACTGATGGCAGCTCCGAAGCGGGAGCGTCTCGCGCATTGACGCGTTGGCATCGGACAACGATCTCATCTCACACCGTTACGCTACGTTAGTTTTAGAAGACGGAATTAGTCCTGAGCTGAATGAAGCGGGGGTTCACTAAGGGAAAGCACAGGAGGAAAAAGATGCTCTGTGGGTGTTGAGAAGGAACGGATGGATATGATATAGGCAGGATGCGGAGTATCTCAGCAGATGAAAATGTTTAGCAAAAAGAGACACAGACAAAGACACAGATATCAATTATGCAAAAGGATGAATTGAAGGCGTTCAAGATTCAGGCGGAATAGCGACGCTGACATGTTGAGGTTAGTTTCCAAGTACGTCTATGCAATGTAGACGCTGATATCGGCTTTCATTCTCTGTGAAGCCTTTCTGCAAATACTGCGTGATGGAAGCTGTGAACCCAAGAGCGCTACGAAGCAAAATAACTAGATAGATAAGTAAATAAGCATAAGCAACAATGAATAGTGCAAGTGTTTTTTTGCGGACCGGGAACGGTCGAAAAAAAAAAATAAATCCATGTTGTTTTTATTGATCCCTGTTTTTTTTTTTGTGTTTTACAGCATGATATTTGGCTGGTCATTGATGGTGATTCAAAGATATTCACATTTGCTACATTTCGATGTGCTGAAACTTGCCTATAGCTCTCACTGGTGCATCTCCTTTGGGCAGTGGTGCGTTGTTCGAAATTCTGCTTAAAATAATATTTCTATTGAATCATTATAAAAAGACTCATAACTTAGTGTTTTCTCTACTCACACAGATTTACCGTGGGCTGGATTCAAAGCCGAACTTATGATTTAAATATATGTTTATTGAACTGTGCTCACTCGCAATAAAAAGTTGAACTTTAACGACGAATTATATCCATTGAAGATATATAAGTAGGACAACAGCGCCTTTTTCGAGTTCGGAGCCTTACCGTATAGCGAGGATTTCTTTCTCTACATAGATGATCACATCAGTACACAGGGAAGGCTATTACGCCAAACAGATTAAATGGGTTACATTACCGCGGATGGCAAATATGCATGGATACCGACTAAAGGAAGCACTATATACTATAAAAAAAAAAAAAGAAAAAACGACCAGCAATCATAAACCTAAGCAGGCTAAGGACTACCAAAATGTTCCTGTCCTTAACGCTTCCCTGCACTGGCCTGTTGCTACGGTCCTGTTGTTGGCCCAAGAGTGCTTTAAAGCTGATGCTCTTTATAGGTGGCTGATCAGTTTAAAGCCAATAGATTCCCTCGATAGCATCTCTAGTCCTGATACCTCCGATAAAGGATTCGAGGATAAGAACTGCACGTCTTTCGCCATTCGTCGCAATGAAGAGTATGCCGTCAACCTAAACTTCATCTAGCTGCAGGTCTATCCTTTTGCTATCATATCACTTAACTCGAATGGTCGACTCTTGTTACAAAACGGACGTAAGGAAAAAAGATCATGCAATAGATCTCATCTGTAATAAGTGTTTTTTTTTTCTCTTTTGGTCCGATTTCGAACAGCGGATCGACAAGTATAAGAACTACAACAAATCCATGGTATTATCGTCTCGACGAGCTGCATCCGTGCATCACTGATTACGATTGCAATACTAGATATACTCGGGGGTTGAATAGCAGTATAGCAGCGTCGGGTACCAGGAGGCAATAGAAAACGGGATGCTAAGAATTGGAGAGGGCCGCAATCAGAAATGGGAGATGCAGATGAGCGATAAGGGGGATCCGAGTACTGCTCTTAAGCGGACGGACGACTAGATATGACAGTGCGAGTTGACAATGAAGATGTTTTCGTTGCTTTCGGTGTCAGTGATGCCTTCGTCCTAGAGCGATTGGTGAACATCGGTTGATCTTTTTGCTGGGTCGTACCGCGCAAAGACGGAAGCCTGGGTCAGCGATACGCATTCATCAAACGCATCTGATTTGCTGCCGTTAGGCACTTTGAATCGTTCCTAGGGCCTGCTCAGACCATAAACGACAAAAGCTTCATATTTGTTCGTTTGTAAGTACGAGTCTGCGTAAACCTAGTAAGGTATGCTATAATACACTCTATATGGATCATGCTGGTTTTTTTGATTACTTGATAAAAAAGGAGTATCATGCAAGCTATCCAATAAGGCTAGTTATCTGATCAAAATCACGAAAATCATATACTTCACTCGTAGCACTAAAAACCTGAAAGGAAGGTCTAGGCCGGACTCAAATATAGTAAAGCCTCGTAAAATCCTGTTTGGACAAATTGTGAGCTAAGTTTCATCTTCAGTCATCTAACAAAATCTCGGACTTGGATACAATCCTCCGTTCTATTTTTAGCGACCGTGAAATAGTCTGCTTTTCCTGGTCGAACTTCAACCCGTTTGATTGAACAGGACATGCCACCTAGTCTTCCAGTCTCGTCCCATTCCGTCTTGAGGAGCTCTCCCAGAGTTCAATACGCATTTTGATGGTGTCGCGTCCGAAGTAGGATATAGGGCTAAGAGTCTAGACGCCATTAGACAAGCTGGGGAGTCAGGGGTACGTAGAGAATGTGCTGGGCTCCAAGAGTGCTCCGAAGGCATTGCCAGACACGACTCGCTGACCAGGGTTCACCCCATTAAGCAAGAGAGGGCTCGCGAAAAGAGGGGATACGCAATGCTGTCGAGAGTAACAGCTGTCGAAGGTTGTCTTACTGGAGTCTAACAGAATCGCGGGCAAGAAAATGGGGACAAAGGGACCGAAGGGAGGACATGAAAGCTCTGAGCGGCCCCGCGGGGTGTGGGTGAGAGGTTTCAAAAAGAAGACTTCGGTTGCCATGGAAATTGCGGCGCGCTGTTGCCGCATAACATTAACAATTGCCTTTTGCCTCTGTGGGGATGGGACAGCGATATACTGGCGACCCTATAGCTCTATTTGAGTTTGTGATAATGGGAAACGGTGTAGATATATGAAATATTTAGCTTTATTTTAAGGTGCAGATCTTTTACTGGGCGTACCAACTCGGAGTTGCTTGTAGGTGCTTATGTAAGGATCTGTGACGTTAAGGTGTTAGAAGCGTTCACAGGTTTGGAAATATTTGAGGACGGTCAAGAATGTTTAGGCTGAACTAGAACTTGAGTACTGCAAGGACAATAAATATCTAAACAATGTGTGTAACTTTAGGTGTACATTCGGAGCTCATTTATTATGAACGGAGTCTGCGTACGATGGAAAGGATGGCTAGATCTCCACAAGCTAGAGGGTATGGGCTGTCTGGAGTTCGATGAGGAACGCGCAAAAGTAAGTATACAACAACGGAACTATCCTAGTTGAACACCTGTAATGGCTGTACAGGTACAAGAAGCTTGAAAATTAAGTTTTGACAGGAACATGTTCTATTTTAATCGTTATTAAATTACTTTAACTTGCATTTTTGCCGTGCGTACATATGAGAACCGTAAATTATCTCGTTACCGCTAAAGGCGCCGCATGGAGTCACTAGCACGTGAGCTGTTGGAAAATTGTTGTTGGTCATCAATTGGTGGTAGCCTTCGTTTCGCGTGTACGATTTGTATAGGTATTTATGCTGCTAGATGACGGGTCGTAAACTAGCGAATCACTGGTCCGCAGAAATGGCACTTACGTTAATCTCGACTTTTCTCAAAAGTTGATACGATTTAGAGCGCCTAATCCCTTAACCTAGCGTTAACCGCCGGTCAAGCTCGAATAGCCTGCCGTCATTCGTTCGCTCTCGTTGAACACATTTAGCCCCAAGCGATTTTACCCAGACCCAGTTATGAACTAAACTGGAGAAATGTTCGCGGTGATTTGAGTCGAACGGGCGTGGCAGCACCTGTGTGCGCCAGGCTGAACAGCGTTTTCATTGATCCCTCCTTCGGAATGTATGCAGAATATATAATTGTGCATTGATGGGCATCTTTCCCCGCTGCCTGTCTGTCCCTTTGACTTTTTACTGTTGTGGCAGAATAACTTCTGCTTCTAATCATCATTGTATACTTGTAACTAAATTAGTTTGTGTGTCTGTTCGACTCGGACCTCCTGACGTCTTGAGAGCTTCAGCTTTCACCGCGAACTTCTTGGCGAATTGTTGTCGTTTCCGCTTTGCGGTAGCTGCGTTTTTTTCGGTTAGGTCTCTCATGTATGAACCTCTGGTCTCCTTGTGGCTACTGCAGCTGTTGTTGTCGTCATCATTGCCGTCGACGAAATTGTCGTTAGGCATGCTGGCTAAGAAATCGACCATTCACGTCCGCATCTAGCGAGCAGCACTATCATCGCACCGGTTACGAGCAGACAAGCGCCCGCGCAGCGTCGAGCTCTCAGCAAAAAATCGACCACTATTGGCATCACCCGCCGCGGCCGCTCCGACAGAATCTAGAGCAATTAAGTCAATTGATGCCCGTTTCGACGAATCAAAGCAAAAGACAACCAGCGAAGCCATGATGAACATCTAGATGGAGGCGCGACCGTTATGGCGGTACCAGCAGCGGTAGTAACAACGAAAGTAGCAACAACCGGGACTGGCCGAGGCGAACGATCGGCGCTAAGACAAGATACCACCGCCGGCAACAAGTCGAAATCGCCGGGTCTTAGACCCGCTCAGAGGAGTTAAGAAAGGCTGACTTACGTCAGACTCACTCGAACAACCAGCGATTTGCTTCTCGGCATCAGGAACGCCTCCCTTTTTGCTTTGAATCGTCTCCTCGCAGAAAAAATGAAGACAAAGTGATCCTGGTCGATGATAGGGACCGACCCAGAAAAGGTTTAGGATTTACAAGACGCCGTTCTGCCCTGTTCTTCATATATTTTCTTCGTTTTCTCATGTGTTCCACCATATATTAGGGGCTTACCATTTTTTGGACGCTAAAGGCTTGATTTCTTGTTTTAGTTGCACTTTCCCCGTGCATCTTCCTCGCTCCAACCGATTCTCGGTCTGGGTCGGTTGAGACGATCCCGCTGTTGGGCGGAGACCCACTAATCATTATGATGATACGTATTATTATAATTACGAGAATGATCGTTATGGAGCAGCGTAAAGTTCGAATGTGCAACTTTGAACGGTTTAAACGTCGACGATCGTAGTTACGTCGATAATAACGTATTCACACGAGCAGATGTTCAAGCTGATAGTGGGTGTAGCATTATTTTTCCTTTGGTAAATGATTAGTCCTGCAGTATTCAGGAGCTTGTTACGACGTCTCCGTTACTGTGCGTGAGAAACACGACACCCATATTGGCCTGTTCGGAAGCTTTTGCTCAGGTCAAAAACGTAACGCTCAATCCGTTGCACTAATAGGACAGATAGTTAAGATTCGGTTCTATCGTGAAAATAATGATGAAGTTATTTAAAAAGACTCCATATGCATATATAGACTCGTGTCCAATTTTTCCATCGATATTAGTATCTGCCTAGTAGACTTTAAACGAAGTTCCGGGCCGAAACAAGAAGCTTATCTAAACGTCTAATTTTGCTCATGTCAGTACTGCAGCTCTTCATAAAAACAGTAAAATAAACACAACGACGATTTTCTTTCGTTCTTCACCTTTTCATATCTTTGTTTATTACAACACGGACATGTAATAACAATACGTTTATTTAGCCAACGGAAAAATCTAGTTCGGTAACAGGTAGTGCTGACGAATTTCGTCACAAATATTAAATTTATGTCGATGTGTTTTTCAGATTGAAGACGCTCATCTTCGTGAGCAAATTGAAAAGCACAGAGAAAAAGCTTTCGATTCGTTTCGAGTAGACAACCCAAATCCGTTCCCCGTACATTCGAAGCGCTCGTATAGGGAACGCATACAAGGCGAAACAGATCTCAGCGTAAGTTCTTCAATTTCTATTAAGCAATAGACTTCAACTTCTAAACACTACAGTAAAAATTCACACGCATCATTCACACTATATTCTTTGCCTAGCTGTAGCGTCGTATGGTGGCGCTATCACGCGTCGAGGCCATCAAAAAAACCTCCGTTATCCCACGCTGGATCAGGCAAGCAGTGAAAAAGGACATTTGAATCACTGACACTCAACTTGCTACTCAATAGTTTGCCTAGATCTATTCAAGACACTGCCATTTATGCCGCTACGTATCGACGGTCTGCTCAAACAAGTCCTAGTAAAGAGCAGATTAGATAGAAACGCACACAAATGTCACGGATAATCTTTTTTTTTTTTTTTTTTGGCCAATTTCACAGACGTCACCGCCGGCTGAATAAGGACCTTTAGAAGGAATAGCACAATCTACTATTCTTTAACTAATTCCTTAGGGGCCTGCTATTCTTTCATCCTTTTGACGTTTTCAACATTTTGGATTGTTCGCATTTTGTATGCAAATCAGCGAGAGAAGCGATAAACAGGGCACTTTCCGTCCGGTTCCGCTGTCCTACCTGAAGAGAATTCCGTTGGACTTGATAGTAGCAGCATCAGTCGCCTCCATCTTTTGCACTCGCTATATTATGCAGACAAAATGGCGTCGCTTACCTGCCATTACTTCTGAATAGCCGATAGCCATACGAATGCGCGCCCCGATAATGCGCTCGTATACGGCTGATTCACGTAAGATTGCTCAGATCTCGATCATTCACACCGGTTTTCGTGTGCGTCCGTCTTGGATTTTTGAAGCCCACCTCTGATTGCCCCTCTTCGGTTTCAGCGATGGCGAGATCGCCTTTGCCATTATCGGCCGGTATGTACGCTAAGAAGTCGCCAACTACTGTTTCTTAGCCATTGTTTGACGCGCCCCATAGCTACCGTTTTGACTGCATCAGTGTCTTCTGATTTCCTTCTAGATCGCTTCTATATATATACGAGTGGGTAGGCGCTTTGCCCTGATCGACAAGCAGCTATGACACACGTGGCAACGATCCATTTGCTAGTCAACTATCAACTTCTACTATTCTAAGGGTCTAACGTCGACGATCGTCAGTACTCTGCAGTCTTCGATGGGCCAGCCTATTCGGCCACCCTTCGAACTTATTCACGTGATAATTGTGCGTTGTCGTTTCGATTAGCGGCAGTGAATTGCTTCTGCCAGCGATGACTGTTTTCTAAACCCGAATCGCACGCAGCAGCAAAACGACGAGCAGGGGCCATGTCAGCTGAAGTGTGACCCTGAGAGCGTCTCGGTGTCTCCACTATCGCTATGTACGTATATGTGTGTGACTCCGCAGAATCTTTTCTTCACTACGACTGCTCTTCTGTCTGGATGAAGTCTGCATGAATCTTGTAACTCGGTGCAGGAAGGCGAAGAACGCGCTAGTGGGACGTGGCCTGTCGGTCGCCTAAGCCGATACAAACTTGTATACCTACTGAGTAGCACCCGACTCTTGGATGTGTCAACAGGCGAAGCTGGCCTCTATGTGTTGTTATTATTACTGTCGTCGACGCTACAGGCGCTGAGTGTTGGCCCAACAAATAGAGAGTTCGTGAGCGAATACGAATCGAAAAGATACTGATAGTGCTGAAGCTAGCTGGACATTGTTTAGCGCACGACGCTGTCGACCTATGCAGGACGAAAGCAACCCTCGACTATGGACTACTGCTGCTTTTGGTTAGAGCAGTCTTAAGTTGTAGGACGGATATAGCTGGTCTAGGACACAACAGCGAGAAGGGCGTCCCTTGAGCTCGGTGTCGCGCAAGGGATGGGTTGCTCAAACTTGCAAGGCCGTCATTTGGGGGAGTTATGGTAATAGCTAGACCTGCACGTGAGGCTATGGACGCAAAGTCAAATATGATTATGTTCGCTGCGAAAACGTATTTATGCTTAGTACGCACGTAAACTGTTGACGTCCTAAAGGAATAAGAAGATTCGAGTAGGGAGAATTTGGTTTGGACGTTGTCCTTTTGCGGTTTTCAAACTTATTGCCTTTCTGGTTTGGAAATTGAAATTGTCAATCAGAGGCGTGTTCCATAACACAGGCCATAGTAAGGCTTTGTTCTGTTGCCTTTTACTGCTAGCCCAAAGGTCAATGAATTAGCATACAGCAAGTAAGGAAACCGCTGTATTTATATAACTATCGAAATGAGAGTAATATAGTAAATCACAATTTAAGCAAACGACACATGTGTTAACGCATGCAGAGATAGCTCTCAGTAAAAACGCACCCACAGTCGTGTCGACTACCACGCGTCTCTTATGATTATACTGCATTTAAAAGTATAATCTATGCATGTCCGCCAAATACAAATGTCCACCAAACAAAAATTTGTCTCACACATTTCGTATGTATCCATATGCCTGTCGTTGTGTGGGAGTTACCTAGGAAACCTTCGCAGCACTTGCTCGATGTAGCAATCCCTCGACAGAGAGATCATACGGTCACGCATCGTGTCATTAGTAAAGGGAGGATATTGATTGAATATCCTGTAGGTGGGTGCCTACGCCGCGGGGGGACTGTTCTGTACGCTGACCCTCCTGGCAGCTAATTAGCATCAAGAGTCAACTAGTAGCAGTTCGCCTAGCATGTTTACAATTCCTATCGTTCGAGATAGCGTGACACTTAAATCTCCGTTGGCCAGTAAGGACTCAAACAGCGAGATACAATGCGCGTCAACAAATACTGTCTTACGAAATTATCCAATCTGGTACAATTGGCTTTTTTCATCACCCCTCGTCTCCCCCTCGACACCCTGCTTCGTGTCTATGTGTTATATGTATAATAGTTCCAAGGGCGCGACGCGTTCACGGGTTCGTGCCATCTTCGCTTTCTAGAATCCTTCAAATGGTGTGGACACAGACGGTGGTCTCTTCTCTTTTTTCACCCCAAACACTTGGTCCTCGGCATTACCATGTATCCCGCGGAGTCTTGGCGTATCAGCGCTCAGCGGGAGTCATGAGGCTTTTCTTCGCATGCGCCCCCAATCCAAATCTGCGTTCGAACTCGAATAAGAGCTTCGATGGCTATCACCTCCAGAACTCATGGTGAACAGACCGAACAAGCGAGCTTCTGAAAGGGCTCAGAGGAGTGACGATGGACAAGGAATTAGTCAATTGAGTTGCCGGCCAACGTACGACGTTGGGAGAATTACTGATTTTCCATATTTTTTTGGAAATAAATAGCGAAAAAGAGAACCCACATTGAGTGCGAGGGATGGTAGTGATAAAACAAAAGATGCAACGGTTCTTGTCCTCTCTCTAATTCTCTTCGAAATCACTACCCCCGATCACCTAGGTTCTGTAGATCGTCACTACCTTTTTCCAACTGGCGCTGCACAGATACCTACTGTGACTGTACTGACGCGTGCTGAGCGGACAGATTTATGTAGGTTTCGTCTGCGTGAATTACGCAGTTAATTTGCTCCTATGGAGTAGATACTACCTGGGGACACCATGATAGATTGGCGAATCACGACAGCCTATTGATTGGCCGAAAGATCCCCCTTTTTTAGCGCACACCTGAATGTATTATTTCTTGTTATTTGCAAATGACCCCTTGAATAAAAAATGAAAATAAGATTATTATTTCCACTAAAACAACGACAATAAATCACCGGTGTGAATTCAAAATTCTCTGAATACAAACGGGGACATTTAAGTTGGATAAGGCTTACTAATCACCTAGGAGCCCAACAAATCCACCTGACCTATCCGATGAAATATAAGCCGTCACACATTGTTAGTTTCTATGATTTTTTTGATATGAATTGACTTGGTACGTCAATTGTTCGCATGTTCCTTATTTGTGAAAATTTTTTAAGTTCCATTGCTCGGCTGCCAGATTATTATTATTACCTGCTTACAATAACGAAGCGTGACGCACGGACCTGAGGGAACGGACGGCTTAAATTCACACCTTCTGTTGTGACTGACTATGCTGATGGACTTCAACACTTGGTATCAACCCTTGGGGTTGTATTGCCTGCCGTTGTAACTTCTGACGCGATACAGCACATCAGAGCCAACGCTGAAATCGAGCCCCCATTCTAACCACCTCCCCGTGAGCCGCTTGGTACGATCTGGGTGGATTAATGTCAACGCCTTCTTAGAGGAGCCGAGCTACCCAATGTCATACAAGCGAGCCGACTAAAATCCTCAATAAAGATTTAGTTTACCCCTCGTCGAAGCGATGGGCGAAGCCAAAAGTCAGCTACGGAAAGTCAGTTTTCTGCTTAAGCAGATTATTGCTACAATCGTTAAGCTGTCGCAAATACTAGTCTTGTACGAGTGTAAATTTGGCGAACTGGCCTCAAGACTGGAAGTCAGGAGCGTAGTTCCGTTAAATACAGTCGATCCGTCAAAGAGAAAAGGCTAATGACCCATGCGCCGACGGACGGAAACGGATCGATATAATGACGAAGGAATTTGGGTTAGCATTGCTTTGTTTTTCGGTAGCTTGGCCTAAATTAAAATAGAGGTTTTTTTTTTGGATGTTGTAGAAATACGACTCGAATCTTTCGGCAAAATCCGAATGTTGGCATTTCACCCATAGACAAATATGTGACCAATATGCTGTGCTAATGTGTCGTTATGGAAGATTATCTTCAGCTTGAATGGGCTCAATGTCGGCCGTGCAGATTTTCAGCTGTGTTGCTGGATTTCTATCTACAGCATGTCTACCCGTATAGGATCTATATGGATTATTTTTATCTGTATAACCATGCTCCCTTAATTTGTTCGTTATCATATTCATTATGTACCAAAGTTTCGAAGGAAAGGAAATCAAACTCAATATACTGAGATGCACAGGAAAAACACTTTAAAAGAAAAAAAATTGTTTAATTCAAATATCCAAAGATGAAAAAACGGACGCTATTTTTTCGGGATTTCTATGCAACGATTAATCGATCTGTTCTATCCTTGTACACAACATCCAGTATGACGGATTTTTGCCAGCCAAAACCACATTGACGCAGCGGTTATGGCGTAATTCTGGCCGCCGTAGAGAATCAATCGTCTCTCGTTCGATCTTGAGGAGCGAAAGTGTCGTCGCGGTTAGATTCTAATGCGTGCGTAAAACAATGTTTGACAACGTCGCAACCTGAACGATGTATAGCATCATACAACTGTAGGTGTAGGTGGCTCTCCCAGAAAACGATCAGGATCATCGTTTCTCTGTAATACTCTAACGCTAGTGTAATCGTACTACTTCTCACCAAACCATTCGACGTGGGGGACGGGGCACTACGTGATTTTGTTCGTAGATAATTTATACGTAGTTTAGAAACGCCGTTTTAGAACGCTAGCAGAGAATGCCTTCTATCGTAGAGACTTACCACGGTGTAGATATATTAATGGTTGCCAAATAACCACAAAGCTACGCTAGCTATCGAGAATGTGCTTAATTGTCTTTATCCCAACGAGTCTAGGTTCGTCTAGAATTCATCTCCGAAAATCGAACTAACTCAGACTGCATTTGTATGTTTACAGGCGCACCACATTGACGTACACCGGACGTGAAGGTCAGCATTCGAAAGAAAAAGGCCATCAGGGCTAACAATGACGGTTTAGCTATCTTAGCATTTATAGATATTTATTGCTTATTGGTTTTTGATATCTTTAATTAAGTCTATCTACTAGCAGTTATAGTTCTGACTCGATGTCGACCTTCACCGAACATGACGATCACGTTGAATATAACGTTGTGCGCCATGGATTGCTACAGGGCCGGCGTTGTACGAGCGTACACAAAAGAAATTTGCAAGAAAAAACGCGCAAATGGTATAGCCGTTGGGTCGCCCTTGTTGTGATAAGCAGGAAATAGGAAGCAGGTGTCGGCCATCATTACGGCAGCGTCGGAATTAACAAATCATATATTGATGCTTGATCGAAACAGCAAACGCTACTGATCGGCCGCTCGAGTGTGAAGATAACAGTGATGAAACACTAGGGGGCGTTATGTTATCGTGTCAAAGCGATCACAGCGCCACGGGTAACACCACCAGGGTTAGAGTACAGGATTATAGAATAATTTGCTATTATTATTATGACAATGGTTGAGGGCACATAGTCCTATTGACTGAAATGGAGTAGTTGTCCGTTCGAACAAAGCGTTATCCATTTCCTTTTCTCATACGACACTGTGCGTATAAATTGTGTGTGTATATATATATATATATATATATATATAATATAGAGAAAGACCGATTAATAGCAGTGGACTCGTATTCACATTACAACACAAAGACTGATAAACGAATTGATGACGAAGGTGGAAGTTTTGAACAAATAAAATTCGTTAGAGTAACGATACGATGTCTTGATTTTTTATACGGTTAACCGAGGTAGGTCAGTAGGCGTTGGCTTTTTTTCCACAGAACCTTTTTCTATAGGTTCTATAGAAACCTGTGTAGTAGCATACACACATAGGTAATAGTAGAAGAAAAAGTAGATAATCTTAAGGCTAGTTTCGCGCGCACTCTGCTGCGGTAGGTTATCGGAGTTCCAAGTCAAGCAGGTAGATCTTTGGGCAGAACTTTGGCCACTAAAGTGCACAGACTTTACGTTTCTGATCTAGTTTTAACGTTTCGAGAGGCATAGAACACAACCTGTGTGATAAGGATTTTTTCATTGCCCATAAAACAAATAATTCCATACAGATACATATATTGTAATACTACACAATATCCTTAGTGTGTCTTTTTGGGTTCTACAAATGACACCGAACTTTGCGTTCAATAGCGTTCCTATAGCAGCAGCAACAGCAGCAAACGTATCCATGCATGCGGTCATCTCTTAACCTTTTGCTGTGTGGCAGGCTCAACATTGAGCCTGCTTTCTCCCATTCTTTCTTCACTCGGTTATTTCTGATAGCCAAATGGATTGATGGAGAGTCAAGCGGCGTATATTAGAATATATTGGGATAGACGGCCTATGAGAGCCGAAGAGGACGAAAAAAAGAGGCTTTGAAAAGCGATAAAGGAAACTATTCGGTTGCGAGGTGAGCGGCCTGTAGTCAAACTGGTGCTGCTGTTGTTGCCGGCTTAGGCTGCACAGGAGGTGCGAAGAAATTAAGACAACTCCATCAAAGCATCGAATGAAATAGGTAGAGGCTGGGTGGGGAGAGGCCGAGAACGCTCAAAACGAGAACAGAACAAAGGAGAAGCACTTCGGCCGACCCTGCCAGTAAGGAAGGTAACAGGCGCAACATACTCAGGCCATAGAAAACGCGAGAATGGACAGGCACCATCCAACATTCAGACCCATAAAAGCACATACGAACACATTTATCTACGAGGCAGGACCTCTAGCGAAGGGGGCCTGGTAGCTTGACTTCAGCTTGCAAGCGCCATCATTCCATTGATGACTGGTTGTTTGGCTGAATGCGTCAGGCACAAGGGACGTGACTTTTTAGTACGGGGTGCTCAAAAAGCCACGCTCAGGACTCGAACTCCAGCTAAACGATAGGGGATAATTGGTGATGCAACAGCAACCATAGCTTAACGGCCTGGCCATTCTGAAAAATTGCACGACGCATATAATGCTACTCCTGAAATTAAGTAAGCCACCTGTGGCAGGTTTTGCTGATTGCAACAAGTTAAGTCTGGTGCCCAATTGTTCATTATAAGTAATTGAGGCTTGCCAATAAACGGCATTAGTTTTCTGGGGTAATCTTCGATTGGACGTACCAGAAGCTAGGGCTGCTGAAGACAGCGTTGGAATGCTACGGTGCCCTAAGATACTTTACGTAGAAACGTTGTTATTCAATTCTAGTTCTTGCAGCTATCGAAGAACAACGAGTGAATCTTTCACTGAAGTATTCTACAGTTACTTAGTCTGTTCATGTTGGTATTTCAGCTCTCGATCCATGTCGGGTGCTCATCAGTGACGCAGAGAGCATTACGGATGTTAGCGCTGATCTATGCATAATACACATTGAGATCTGTCGTACGCGTTTTTCTCTACAAGACGAGTACAGATCGGTCTAGAATATATTGTTCCTTTAGCTCAACGTGTCAAATGTCGCTGTTAGTAAAGGGCAGCAGCAGCAGTAGCGACGGCCGCATCTCAAGCCCGCCTCGAACATCGCAGGAGCGAGCGGTGTCATCGGAGACCGGCCGCGAGCCTCTTGCATATGAGAACAGATCTGAAAGCAATGTCACCGTGTTTTGCTGCGTCATAGACGAACCAGGCAAGGCTCGATAAAATGTTTTGAAAGCGGACATGATGAGGGTCTGATCTGTCATTTCTCGGAGCAGCGTCGGGAGCTGCTTGAACGAAACGACCACATCTCTAAGCTGATCACACAAAAGTATCAACTGTTCACTACTCATCACCGCTTTTACTTTCGCGACACATCCAGCGCTTTAGGACCAAATGCTGAGAACACTTTTATGTCTCAATTACTCAGTGACTGACCATAAAACGTATATAGCTGGAGTAAATAACTGCTCAGTGAGCCATATAGCCTAACGATTTTTTAGCTAAACGTTTTAGTTGCTTTTCGCCTTCCTAATTCCACGCAATAGTGTCACTCGGATGTTTCGCTACTCGGTCGTCAGAAAGGCCTTTCGCTGAAACAGATTACAATTCCTGACACACCAACTCACTTCTTTTTGGCCAATTTAGCGCCTAGTATTGAAGGTTCGCACGAGCAGGAAAGTAACTGCGTACATATGCATAGAAGGACACGATTCTGTGTTGACAAATTTCCCAACACCAAATACGTACTTATTACGTGGGTGCTGACCGCCCTGTTAGAAGAACGGGATTCGGCTGTCTCAAACGGTCCTAACAAGCTTATGTTATATATAAGGCACCGGCAGTGAAGTGTAGTTTCTGAAATATTACGCTATGTCATACTCTGTCGCTGTATCGTCAATGGCAAACTGTTTTTCCGTTTCTACGAACACGCCTTACGCACACACTACCCTACACACCATTGTGCTTACCTTTAAGCTTGACAAATTGAGAGGAAGTTCAAATATACGAGACCTTTCCGACATATTGTGTTGTTGTTGACTGCACGCAACGTTTTCGCTTGTTCAGAACAAACAGAAGTGTTCGCGTAAGGGTGGACCGTGTCAGACAACAATGGGGAGGGGTGATGATGGGGCAAATGGTCGAGATCACGTTATAGTTTTATGCTACCACCTCTGGCTAAGAGTACGTTTCTATAGTGACTATAAGGCTAGCTTCATATATATATCGTCAGATATCGTCAGTAAACATTTGGTGAAATTCTGTCATTGGTATTGCACGCTATAAGAGATCTTAATTCAGTTGTTGTTTGGCCGATAGGACAAATTCAAAGTGCCTGCTCTCAATCTTAGTTCAGGTGTTAGCTATATATACCTGGCAGTATGTTCGCTTCTAGGAGGGAACTACTGAAATCAAGGCGGATCTTGATGCTTTTGATTATGAGAACTCTCTGTCTTCTCACTTCAAATCGACTTGAAAATCGAACCTGCCCATCAAAGAGCGATCGAGCTCAGACGCTCTTGCTGTATCCCTGCGGTTTTGCATGCGAATCATTAAAGTCGACAGCGGGAAGCATCTCGTTTAAGATAGCATAGATAACTATTGCCGAGCTCCAAACCTCCTCTAACCAGAATCAAGATATTTGACTTGAAACATACCTTTATTGTAGAGTCCGTTGCATGTAGAAAGAAAATACTTTTGTTGATCATGACGTAACTCTAAGCCACTATAAATGCTCATCTGTTATAATATGTTTACAGAAGCATCATGGACTTTTTCGTCGGTTAAAATTCATTCAAAGTCATATTCAGCCAAGTACCCACGGCATAAATGTCTCCCAATTAGAATGGTAGATATACTGGCAACCATGTAGGAAGAGAACAGTATATTTTTTTTTACTCCAAAATCAATGCCCATTCTTATTACCTAGGCTGCTTTGAGTCAAACGAGGTGTTTGCCGTCGTTATTTATTCTAGTGCACCTAGTGTCTGGTACAATTAAAAAGGGGGTGCGACTTCGGGACCTTTGTATCCTTGTCGCAAACTTTGCGACCTTTTCGTTGCCTGCATTTGAGGACACCCTGTAGCGTTCTACCAGCCCGAAGCTGTTGTGACAGGCATTGTCGATGGGTACGGAGTTTTGCTTTCTCGTCGCTCCCCCGCCTCTCTTCCTGGCAGAACGCGCAACAAAGAACGAGATCCCTCTATGGCCGTAGAACTCAAACGATTCAGACCATACCGACTGGAGTTAGTTGCTGGCCGTAGCCCAGTGCAGCTCGGTGCAGTGCACGGGCACATAAGACTGCATCTCGAGGAAGCAGTCATACAGCTTTAGAGTCGGCAGTGTTGTCAGGGTGCACGCTCACGCGGGTGATCTAATGGAGACTTCGCTTACCGAAGTGATCTGCTTCGCAAAGTTATTGCTTGCTTCATCACCGATGACGATGGCGACAACGAACAGAGAGACTCGATAGAAAAAAAGGCATAGTAAAGTTACGCTCTTTGTTTGTGTCCTATCTCTATTTGGTTTGTGTCCACTTACTTCTGTCTCCCTTATTGCTGCCTTAAAGATATGAGATTTGATTGGAGATTGCGTTGATAGGCGTAGAGGCGTTTTATGACAGGCCGGTGAGAAGGGGGAACCACTGCGAGAGACTGGGTGTCTGTCCGGTGAACGACAGTTATATTTCTACTTCCAGTAGCGCAAGCTGGGGGGGGGGGGGGGGACGAGGGTTGGGCAGTTAGTTCCCTCTGCAAATCCGCTTTGTAATTCCTTGACAATTATGTTTGCTTCATACAGTTTACGTAGGTACATGAGAAAGTTAAACTTGAAAATTGGGTCCGTTAACGACCTCAGTTATTATTGATTAAATTGTTTCGGATAAACAAATTCGCATTGCGCCTCGTTGTGACAATAGTGAATCAATGGTTCAGCTCGGTTCGGGTCAAAAATTGATTCCTTTCGACTAACAAAAATGGATACGTCAACATGAAGATGTCTCATTTGCTTTTTCTATTTGGTAAATACTTCCAGACGAAGGCTATCCAGACTATTCTCACAGTAAGTTTTATTTTTTTGGCCCATACTTTGTGACTTTATTGATTTCGAGGTGTCATTTATTATTATTTACTATATTGTTAGATGATACTATCAGCTTTTCACTTTAGAGTTTCTCCTTCACCAATCAAAATTCTGTGACCTTTTTCGGATTAACAGGTAAAGCCGTGATAAAAGGCCAGACTTTAGGCCCCTTTCTGGTTGACTGTATGTTGACCTTTAACCAAAAAGTAGAATATTTTGAAACCAGCCACAAATATTCCTATTACGTTTTCGTTCTCATGTGAGATATCTATGTTAGCTGGGGTTACATCACAGTACACCATCCTATTGTGCATTTTCAATTAAAACTGCTGACTGAAGACCTTTGAAAAATGTACTTCGCTACTTGACGTATTTTTTATGTAATGTATATACATATATATATATATATATATATATATTTTTTTTTTTCTCGTGTAATTATGATTATCCAACATGCTGCATATCTATTTTATTAGTAATATATTCGATATTGGTAACCATTGTAGCAGCGACATCGATGAGCGCTAAGAGGTTTCAACTGTTACAGAAAAGCAAGTCTTCCTTCCCACCAAGCTGCTTCGTGGAGCACAAGTCTAACGAGTTGACGAAACTCGTATACGTGACTATCGCCCAGCTCAATGAAACCGCTAGCGCAGCAGATTCACACTGAGACAATAATCCGAATCGAGAAACGTAAAAATTGAATGGGGAGAAGGTGATCTGCTAGCCAGCAGGGTAGCTACTAGTTCATGCGAGTAGGAAGACGGGGTCAAGTAAACGGCGAGCATAAACGCCAGCGTGGTGTACAAGTGCACACGATGAACCGGGGCGGCCACCGAACCTGCGCTTCAAGACTGCCACTGAAAATCGAACGAAAACTAGTAGACGTTCTTCGCAAGCTACGCATAAATGTGTAGACACACGGCCGGAGGCATCGAATGTTTTTGCGCGCGACGAAAACGCGGTGCCATAGCAATACCACTCTGGACACAACCGTCAAAAGGGGAACTTTGCGTTCGCTAGCATAATGGCTTGAAGGGACAGTTGACGTTTAGCAATGGGTGTGGGGTGATTTTCACACAACTGAACGAGCTAAAGCGTTGTTGGCTTTCGGTAGAAAACGCTTGAAATGCAATAATATCTAGTAATAGAAGGATGCGAAAAGTTAAAAGTCGAAATAAAAACACAGAACGAAGGTCGTTGAATGGCTTTCGTAGGGGAGGGAACCTCAGGAGCGACTCACGTTGCCAGTCGCCGTTGGCAAAATTTCAGTGCGACGTCTGGCAGTTGAGGCTTGAGGTACTTGGGCCGTCCCCTAAAATATTCCCATCTGCACAGAATGTATGTGAGTGAAAAAAGGATGATTTTTGCCGAAATCATTGTTTTAGCATTGACCGCGAGAACGAGGCTACCAGTGAACCATTGGGTTCGAAGTTGTGCGTGACAAAAACACCAATCTATACCACTAAGATATGGAAGCATAAAATAGAAGGTAACAGTTAATTATTTCTAGAAAGATTGATATGGTAAACACAAAGAGAACAAACAAGGAAGCCACAGAAGATGTACTTGGAAACTTCAAGACTACTTAAACAGGTGTGGCTGAAGTCAATGGTTTTACGTTAGGCGATACATAGGTTGTCTGGCAATAATTTCTTGTCAGCTCCGGGGTGTCGAAGGTAGACGGAACCTAATAAATCGCTGTCGTAACACTCGTTTTTCTCACTACTTTGTTATCACTACTCACTTCGTTTTTTTTTTTTTGTCTTCCCACGGCCAACCAATAAGGTCGATATTGTTAGTTCGATAGGCCAGTTCACTGGTCGTACGCAAGGACGCCGGAGACGTGTCGCGCACGTGTGTTGGGAAGCACTGATGGTTGTTGTATCTGTCACTTTGTACATTGGATTCAGTATCGCATGTCATGCAAACAGATATTGACACAAATCATCACCTATTACAGCGTAAGCAGTGATGGCGATGGAGGCCAGCAACGCGTTAGTATCGTTCGTAAGTAAACATACTGCACTCTACACGTGCTTCCTGGAGGAGAGAGTTGCTTGATAGGAAAGTTGCTCTTCAACGCGACGACCCGGTCGCTGGTCGATTCCCATTGCACTTACCCCCGAGTATATCGGTATAGAGTGTATGTATGCGTGCGTATATGAGAAGCACGAGCGCACTTTCAGCCAGTACGTTTATCGCCTAGTTGAAGCTATTGTAACGAAGCAGCAGGCGAAGATACGACAAACAGCTAAACGATCGTAAGTACGCATTTGGCGCAAAGCTGTACCGTGTTCACTAACAGTTCGGGTCGTATATAAGATGTCTGAGGGCAGTAGTAGAAGCAGCAGCTAAGCAAAGGAATGGTAGTTTGTGCGTGCCGAGGTGTCCGGGACTACAGGCTTTCAAGCCTTCGGAGGCTAACTAGGATTTTCCGCCGGTCAACATGCGTTGAAGTCCTTCGCTCCATTGTTCGACGGACGAGGAGAACAAGCTCAACGCAGAGAAACTTGCTTAGCAAACTCAGCCGAGTAGCTCCGATAGGTGGGCAGGCAGTCGTGCTCTGGAGCTCTCTGCGGCATAGTAGCTCCTCAGGACTTACAAGTCGCAGAGAGGGCGATACGCTCCGAGTTCGCTGGCGATTCTTGAGCTTGCTTCATTGCTATGCTCGACCTGCACGTGACCATGAGTATAGGGCGCTATAGTGGAGGGTACTGGTGTAGAAGACTATAGTGCTCTATGCTGATCAGACGGAAGGGGCTTACGGGAGTAATTGTAGGGCTTAGAGTTGAACCCATCTGTAGTATCTGTAGATTGTTTGAAGAGGATATCACGAGCTCGAGGGTCAAATAAGGGGCGGGTGCTAGACAAAAGCATGCTATCGTGCTACAAAATGAGAGTACTCGATGGAAAAAAGGCGGTACGAAATAAGGATAAAACGAAACGACAGTTACGATAGGTTTAAGCACCATATAATGGTTTCTTTTCTATTTTACTTAGACTGTGATCTGATGAGCCATGGAACACCGCCGCTATCTATAAGATTGGATCAACTTACTTTCTATTATCAATTATTTCTCAATCACTATATAGTACTGGTTACAATATAGGGGGAATCCTGGAATTACGTAAATTGTAACCTGTTGCTATTGTGTGTAAATAACGAAATTTTGATGGAATCACATATGATCTCAGAATGGTGCTCGGAATGGTGGGCCCTCACGGACGAATTCGATGGGCAATTCGTAATTAATAAGAGTCAACTAAGGGAATATATTACGCAGATCTTACGATCAACCGAAGCCTCTAAATTGCAACCAGTACGTCCTATTGAGTGCGTAGATTTAATAACTGGTCGGAAAAAAATAAAAGATCCGAAATAATCAATAATATTACTAAACTGCAGAGTCGGAGAAAAGCGCGTAAACTAAGGCTATTGATAATTTACCTACGTGCTCGGTGCATATAATGCTTTATAATAGTAGTCCGTGATCAAATTTTTAGCTAGCCCCTTTTATTCCAGTATTACGCCTGTCTTCGAGATAGAGATCACATGCTCACACCATTCGAACAAATGGGATCATACAAGTTATCGTCTGGAAATAAATTTCAAGGTCGCACGAAACTTTGCCCGTAGGCAGACCTGCGACTTCAGTTCTGGAAAACGAGTAAGATTCGAAATTCTCGAGCCATGCGAGAGGGTCACTCTTTGTTTTCAACGGAAACGCCATTTGCACGAAATCACTAACTCGGCGACTGCCCTCATAGCAAAGCTACTTCCTGAAAAAGCGGCCAAGGCCTTGTGCGAGTCGGAATACGTTACAGTCCACGTCCTCGTTGACCATCTCCTCTCAGATTTGATGTCTCAAGATGAAGCTGAACAGGAAACCGAGGCCACAATTGACGATGGTACAAGTGGGTCCTGCGCCCTTAAAGGTACGTACCAGCTACGTCGACAGCCGTCACCGAGAATGGTAGTCGTTCATCAGCAGATGGCAAGATACCTCGCGGCCCACCGCCAAAATCAACAGAGCCACCTGCTGGTCGACGATGAAGGCGCCCTTTTGCTTAAAATGCACGCTCACCGTTATGGTGTCACTCGGCTGAAACGAGCTCGCATCTACCTCGATGTAGCGGTTGAAGCTAAACTTCGTGGAGTTCCTATTTCGTTTGCGTACATGCGAGAAAACCTCAAGGCCCTTTACAGCGACGTACTTCCACCCGAGGTGAGTGAGAAGCTGCTGCGTTTGTCGCAGGATGCCGTGCTTGAAGGTCTGTGCTTTTGGGACAGACCTAACGACGAAGAAGCGCTGAGCACCGTGGTCTGCTTTTTTGAGACTGCGTATGTACTCATTATTGTTTTCTATATTCTTTTTTCAATCGAAATATATAAGTGGTACGTAGTGCATAGATATATTTAGACATTGTCCATTCCTGACAGAGCTGAATAGACAGGATAGTTAGATAATCGACGACCTAATTTGAATTAGATTGCCAGTAATAGAGGTTATAATTTGAACATGTGTTTAAATTCCAGACGACGTATCGCGCCTAACGCCAGCGTAATAAGACGTTTTTTGAAGGATGTCCATGTTAAATTGCTTGAAATATTTAATTCAGCCGAAACTAATACCGTAGAGAGGTTGTGCGTAAATTTAGACCGACTGAACTGCTGGACCTCGATCATGGATGAAGTATGTCCAAGATACGGCGATGGAAAATTTAGCTTGCTTCTAGAGAATCACTTCCGAGATTTGATTTTACCGCACGCGGAAGCCATCGTCCGTGAGTCTTTAAAACAATTTCCCAAGTATCCAAGATTGGCGTATGAAATTGTTGAAGTTGTTGTTCCCCTGACCCGATTAAGCCAGCTGGCGCCAATCGATCACGATTTCAAGTTATGGTTTACCGATAAACAGACAAGCAGCCTCATCAACGATATTCTCAGTGTCGAACAGGAGGATCTCCTACTCCTAATTGGAAATCTAACAGACAGTAATCAAGGTTTGAAGGCAATTTCGTATAGCATAATGGATTCACCATAGTAAATCTAAATTACATCATTTAGTTTAAGGGTAGTTTAGTTGCGGTACGTTACTTTCCCTTAACGTTTGCATATTCCTTGCTAGAATTCACCAACAGGTTGCAAGATTGCATAAAGCGCTGTGAACATTTTGTCGACACCTTTATGTGGCGCTATGTGGGTTTAGCTGGTGTTTACTGCCGCAAACTTTGTGACGTCTTCCAAGCGCTACAGGCTCGACTTTGGTCGATTCAAATTGACGCGCCAACGATTCGCTACTGTGTTCAAATCGATGCGATACGAGAAATCGCATTTGCCTGTGACGAGGTAAAATTTTCAGCTTTGATCTTTCAAGCACTGATGCTTTCATTAGCAAGTTACGATTCTAACTCAGCTAGCGTGCTTCTCTCGGTGGGCTCTGAATACTCAGTAACTTGAAAGATGTTTTACCTATCGCCGGCGGGGTCATTTTTCTGTAGTTTCAAGAGCGATACAAGCAAGCACCATGGGCACTATGTTCACTTGACTAGACTCACGGCCTAATCTATTTTAATTCTAGGCCCATTTTTTCCAGTTGTGTCTGCGTGACTGTGGACGTCTAGGATGACTGTTAACGTAGTCTGGCCCGGGTTGAAGTTAGTAGCTTAATTTCGCTGTCGTGCTTGCGTTATAGGTAAGTGCGTTCCTACGCCTAGGATCAACTGGTCTTTGCGCAGAGTTTGAGGTCGCCATCCGCGAGGTCCAACTGAAATTAGAAACGTCACTTAATGCTCTAATTGCTAAACTCTCGGCGAGGATACTGAAATCGAAGGATCTCGATATGCTAACGGATCTCCAGAATGCGTCCGGGCTTATCGCAAACGTTAATCCTCACGATCAGCCGAAATTGGTCGTCTGCATTTGGAAGACCTTCTTGTTCCGGATCGTAGAAATGTAGATAATTTTGACCTAACTTATCGGATAAATGTGCGTCTTAGGTTTTAAAGCAGGGACAATAGAGACGTCTATAACATATATTTGATAAAAACATTGAAAATGCAACTAATATTTTCGTCTGTACCGCTTGACGTCCTTACAGGGAGCGGACAAATAACGAATGCGCCAGTGATCTTATTGCCGAATCAGCGGTGTCAAACAGCATTAGTGAGTTTATTGAGGAACTTTTTAAAATCTGCCCTCATCTCGAGCCAAACGATTTAAGTTCATATGAGCGTTAATAGAATTAGTGCCTTCATACATTGACTCGATGTGACATACTGTCGTTTTTACCCAACAAGTTACAATAAATGGCAGTTTGAATAAGTAAACATGACCTACCGAACTATCGTTAACTTGGTGTTTTACTTTTGTCACATCGTATGTCCGTAGAAACGTTAACGTCATAATTATAAAACGTAAACGGAAATATTGAGTACGATTAAAAATAGCGAAGCACAACGAAGATGACGAATGCAAGCGGATGATATGGACAACAGCAGTAAATTGACCTGCATAGAGGAATGCACATATGTTCCCCTTGTCCAGTAGATATCTGATTATAACGAATCTCAATGACTTTTACTCCCGGGTGATTTTCCTTCGTGTTGGCTATCAGTAGCACCCGGCTTTCTTTGAATAGCGATCATTTCCCCTTCCTACCTAGGATTTTTATACTACTGTTTATCTTATTAAGTCGCTGCTTATCGCCTTCGCGCACACCAGGTTTCAATACAATAGTAAACACTCTCGTGCCACTAGTTCTACCTTTCGGCCCTACTTGCCGCGACCGTTTGATGAATTGCTTCTACCTGCCTCGATGACCCTATTAACCCTGTTCGTAGGCATCGAGCGCCCGATGTGCGACTCCCCATTTCACCGGTGCGCGCATCATGCGCACATTCTACGCTCCCTCTCGCTATCGTATAGCTAGCTCTAGTAGGAATGGTATAGGAGAGTCACCCCCTGATATATCTTTTGTAGACGGTCTGATAACCGATCGTATAGGTAACGCACGGACACACAAACACAAGCTGTATATACATGCGTTATACCCATTGAAGTCTAAGGGCTTATATGCTATTTCGAAGCCTCGAACCTATATATATACATGTGTGTATATGTAAGAACCGGAAGGAGAGCACCCTAGCGGAGCTGAGGGATAGCAGGTCACTTCCCATAGGCTAACTCTCCATCCAGCGTTATTAAGTAGTTCTTCAGCTCGTAGAAAACGAGCAATCTCTTTGTAACAGGATCCATTACGACCTACTGCAGTCGTTACTAGATACAAGTAAAGATACTGTGATTGCAAGTCTTCGCGTAGGAAAAGCCTTAAGGCGCTTCTACAATCGTCATCAGTAATATATTATTTCCGTTTATTATTTAAATCCTATACCACATGCTTCAATGCAACAGTGATCTGGTAGCATAGGAACGACTACGGGGTCAGGCATTTGAAAAAAACAGGTGAGTTGTTCTTAGAAAAAAGGGAACGTTCTTAAAAATTGATATACATATCTTTGGTTAAATGTGATAATGGAGGTAAAGTCAAGTGACTGCTTTTTAGTTGATATCAATAACCCTACATAAGCCTAGTTTCAACAAGCAGTCCAGGCTAAGGATGATACGACGCTATAAACTAGTTAACGCTGTTATTTCTCCACAAGTAATAGGCTCAACATTGTATTGAAACGCGTGACATTAATGAATCGCCCATATCGGTACGTGAAACCTCGTCCAGCCTATTCGATCTCGCATCTGTGCATGGTACATTTCAATTGACTACACTTCTCCCAACGTTTGAAGTGCTTTTGTTTATCGGTGCACTATAGCTCCTAGTCTCTTCTGTAAATCGTGTACTTTATCTATATATTTTTCAGCTTCCTTTGCGTGGCATCGTAGATGGCCTCCTGTTACGGACACAAAAAATTGTCCCCTACAATAGAAGTCTGCTGGGTCTTCTGCCCCTACTCCCATTATATAATAATAGTCATACAAAAAAAAAGTGGCGTCTTTTCTCTGCGCTCCATTGCGTCCGGTTCCAATCTGTTTCCGATTGAATGCCGGTGTCAATTCAACTACCTCCTAGCAAAACGCTGTCCGACAATTTGAGCGACTTCAAAAGTATTCATTCACTTCGCATCGATTGAGACCAACGGCTACGATTCACTGATGTCGCTTGCTGGTGCTATATTGATTTTGTGATCGGATGAACTAGTAGTCGACGGCAGAAGCCGTGGTACACACGTCATTGCTCGACAGCAATGACAGAGCGAACCCTGAATAAATGGGATCAGATTCAAGTGCGAAGTTGAACCTGATCGATTCCGATTATCACTGAGCGAAGCGGCAGCGCCGTCTGATGACTGTGCGTCATCTCAGGCGGAACGATACTTCGCGTCGATGGGCGCTGATGGACAACGTGAGAACGCTAACGAAGAAAATCTACGAAAAGTGGAAACAGCTACTGCTCCCGAACTTCTTACGGTATCAAGCGGTGCCTCCTGAATGAGTCTGAGTTGCGCTGAACGACAGTAAGTACTATTTAAACTGCTTAAATATAATCCTGAAGCGTCTTTGTGAGTCGATTCTGAAGCTAATCACTTGGTCCGGAGTTAAATACTAGAAGGTAATTTTTTATATTGATTTTCGATATATTCACTATACTATTTAGTTATATATTTTAGGATCAGCTACAGAAAATAGAACGCATGCTAACCCAATCCGTTTAAGGAATAATAATTTATTTCTCGGATAGCTTTACCTGCTAAAAGCTTGTTTCATTGACATGCTTATATATATTTACAGAGTTATTGAAATTATACTCTGCCAAACAGTTTGATTGCGCTGCTAAGGTCGCTCTTACATTTATATTACTAACATAAAATTCAGTACCAAGCCCACAGTTACGCCATGTACTTCGATGTTTCAAGCTGACCCAGCATATCTATTTTCCATGGCTTCCTAAATTCTTTGTACCGGTTTTCGATGACCAGCAGAAATGGCACCTGCTTTCGCCAAGCCTGTTCTCCTTTTTATTGTATTTTAACGTCTCAGGTGTTCTGCTACTATCGAAAAGATCCCTATTGGAGTGTCACTGCGTGCTTTCGCATGCGCAGATAGAACGGTTTTTCAAAGGCACGCCGAGCACCAATGAGAGTGCGCCTTTGTCGTAACTTCACATCGGCTTTGTCGTCTCCATCTTCGGAGCGTCCAACAGTGCCACCCTGTCGAGAGCTGCAATTTCCCCCTCCGTCCTTTCCACCCCACCGACCCTACCAGCTGTCTTGGAAGCTTCGATACTACGCGAGTTATCCCACAGTCTCCTTACCCAGGCTTTTTGCCGGAGAGCCATTACATACCTTCGTAACAAACGGGGATTGCTCCAATTCCCCGCTTTAGCCCTCGGCTCCGGGGGTGGCGCGTAGACCCCAGAGCCCCGCGCGAAGCTCCGCCCCTTGCTAGTGCACTGCGCTCTTCGTCTTCCATCTTGGATAATTTGCTAGGGTTGTCCGGGCTCCGGCCGGGCTTTGCCTTCGCGCGACTTGTCTTCGTCCGCTTGGAGGCAACCCCAAGTTGCAAGAGCTGAGAGCTAACATGAAGAGAAGAGCTAGCAGGAAGGAGTAGCAAAATTCAGGCTGGTCCTGAGCGACGTCTTGTCCTTCTCCAATCCAAACAGTGGCTCCGAGCTTGTCAAGTCGCTTAAGTCATCGCAGTCTCGTTGGAACCGTGGCGTTAGACAAGAGGACGAGACTCGTTTAGCTTTTTTAAACTGAAGAGTAAGCTACGTTTTTGCGACTCCACTCACTCATTAGCTGTGTCTTCGCGTTTGATTGTGCCTATATGAATACTGCACTATTAGGCTAAGTCTGTTGGAAGGAAAAAGGTTTCTTGTTACTGAAACCCTGCACAAGAGTCTTTCAATACGTGATTGTGACGTGTGTGGAGCGCATATATCGGCATCGGCGCTCGTATCACTCTGGAAATTTGTCACCGATTCCATAAGATCGACAGCTTCCCATTAGACGGGAATATCAGATAATATAGTGCAGCCAAATTGAACTGGATAATAGACAGAAAAAAAGCCAGCGCGAGACTCAGCCTGCTAGAGACTAACGTGCAAATACGTATTCATTGAAATACACGCGTCGCAACGAAGGCTTTGGTGCCTTCGCCTATTGACTGGAAGTGCCGTGAGTGTTTTCAGCGTCGCCACGGTGGGCTGGAGCGGCGCAGGAGCCGGCGGAGGGCTGGCAGGTGCTCCTCGCAGGATGCTCCCATTCGAAACTCCTTCTGTGTTCGACCAGCTGCCGCGCTACCTGCTCAAGATCCCGCGGGTTGTTAAAGACCAAAAGCACAAGTTTGACACGGATGACCTGTTTCGGAAGCTTAGTCGGGAAGGTGAGGTAGGTGACATACGCCAGAGAAATGGCATTCTGTTCAGCGTTTTAGACAGACGTTATATGGGGTTGAGATGTTCTTTTGTGTGAATATATGCAATCTGCGCTTTTTATATCATGAGAGTAAAATAGAGAATTTTTTTTTTGGCACGTCGTAAGGACAGAGAATTCTCAAACAAAAAAAAGACAGAAAAGATATGCATCTATTTGAATGGAAAAAAACGATATCTTTTTGGAAGGAACATTTCGTATATAAACTATATGGAAAGATTACTAAAATCAGTCTGTTTTTTTAGAAATACTATGCCAATATGGTTTCGGTTACTCAAAAATTTTACTCAGGATACGACACCGTGGGCGCCTGTTGCGCCAATTTTCAACTGCAAACTCAACGAAACGTTCCGGCAAGCACTCTGTTAGCTGCCGAAATACGTTATAGCGCACACGAATGCTTACCACGACCACTAGAACGATAATTTTTTTTGTCTAAATTCAACGAACGAAATCGTTTCATGTACGCCGTCTCAAACTAAATGTATTTTCTGAAGAGAAAATGTTAAAAAAAATAAATACAAATTTTTGGAAAACAACTCCGAATGCCTGATCGTCCCAATGTTTTTTTTTTTTCCTACTTTTGAATGATTAACCTCACGATCTTTGCCAGTAGAAACTTCAAGCGTTGCCCTTTCAAATCTTCACCTGTGAAAGCTCCACACATATTCGTATCACTGCGTGAATTTGCTCAGTTGTGGTCGCCCTAGCTATATGCGGCGGCGTCGATTTTTGCGGGTCTAGAAGTTCTAACGAGAAACCTCGCTGGAATGAAGGTCTATGACTGACACATCAGTTATCGTCAGAAGACGTCGGAACAATACGTTGTACAACCAGAATTTTAAAAAAATATACCTAAAAACAATTGGAAAATAGTTTTTTTTGTTTTTTTTTTTTTGAATGTATTAGCATTATTCGTGAACCTTCGCAGCTCGTTTTTGGAACGTTACAATAGGTTTTTCATGTACTATGATTAATGCCGTGAGCAGAAACCCGTTATCTGTTCATTTGTCCAGCGTATTCCCTTGCAATCCGCGCATTTCTTCTGAAAATCGTACATTTACGTGATTTATTTGCATGCAACTTTTAACATATCAATTTTTCTATTAGTGAACATAAATGTTAAAGCGACTTTAAAGTGCAGTGAGTCCTGCAAGTGTCCACTGTCTCCTCTGAAGGCCTATGTAATAAGGCCGTCTCAGAGACGAAATCCAGACCCTGGCGAGTGTGAACTCGCAGTGCAGTATCATATCCCTTACATGCGCATCACAACCACTTCAGCATATATGAGCAACTGCGAAGTGCACAGCCTGCTTCAAGTATCTCTTGAATGCTGCTTCACGAAATGCTTCTGAAGTGCAGGCAGCAGCACGATAGCTATTATCAAGGTGTCCTCTGATCTGATTTCGTCGAAGTATTTGAGCTTTAGCCTCTTTTCACCCCAATCCTGATTGAGTGGTACATACAACAGTTACTACCCTGCAATTTCGACAATATCCTAGCAAACAGTTCATCAACTATCTCCATATTTTTTGTGACGATAGAAATGACTCGCATTCTATACATATAAGTGATCCAAGAAGTACTGAAGGCTTTTGACAGTCAAATTGGGAAAGAATATTTTCCACATTTTGAAGCGATATTATTAAACTAAATCTGCGCTATTTCTATTGGTGACTTCCCTTTCTGATAACACCGTCATTCCATCACCATGAAATGTTTGTGATTTCCGGGAGAAAGAGGATAACAGGTGATTTTTTCGTGATGAAACTAGATTAACAGAAGCCATTATGCAGAGACCGAAACAGATAATAGTCTAACGGCACAAAATTCAGCCTATAAGGCAGATGTGATGCAATTCTTAATTTAAATTTTTGCTGGTCGGGTATTGTTGGCTGGCAGAAGAGATCTCTATTCACCAGTATCGGTCAATTTAGCTCAGTCTAATTTTGTTAATTGGTAGCAATGAAAATCCGAATCAATTTTTTACTAAATGGCAGCTACAACACACAATTCTATTCCAATCCCATCAAACATATAGTATCATTTTGTTTGACGTCAGTCCGGGACTCAGCCACAGCCTATAGAGCTTTTTTTTCGCTTTAACCATGATCTTTTCAGCAAGTTATGGTACTCAATTTTATCTAATTTCTGCAAAATTTCGCAGATAGAACTACAGTCGAGTAGATTGCTCTGTGTTAGCTCTTGTGGCACTCAAAGATTGAGCTTGTTTTTGTAGCCAGCTTTTTTAAAGAGCTTTACAGCTATCTGTTTGGTTTCGATTACCTAGCGATGTCAGGGCTACTCTTGTATGTCGGTCGGTTGGTCTTGCTCAGCTTCCAAGATTATTTCATCGATTTTTTTCGAAATTAGACAACGATCATGAACAGTATCTTCCACACTAAAGTTTCCAGAACGAAAGCGACAGAACCATCGTTGGCCCGTTTCATCTAATAACGCATTTTGACCATCAACAACCATGTTTTTTTTTTGATGAACCTGGACAGTACTTTTGCCGTTATCGTACTCAAATTGTAGAACACAGCCAACTTTACTTAGCTTCAACGCGTTGTGGCAATTTCAGCACATCTACTACCGTCAAATCCCAGCTTTCCAATGGTACAGAACGGCTCATATGACCTGAGATATGCAACTTTTAAGCTATCTAGGTACCATCATTTCTAAGTTCGAACTCAGGCACAGACACACAGACAAACTTCGTTTCGTGGTGGGATCCAGTCAACCGTCTGATGGGACACCTAACGGCGATATCAGAAGTAGAATTCGAAACGTAGAAGCACCATGATCTATCCCACTATTCAATATAGAGCATACAGCCCATATGTATGATATATATTATTAAACGAAGTTACTTGAGAGTGAAGAATTGAAATGAATTAGTGGATAGTCATCTTAATGGAAGCCGTTCGTCCCACACCCAACCAACACTTCGCCCTGATGCCAATTTTGAATAAAAAAATACTACTTCAACCCTTATATAT